TGGCTGCTTTTAGGCCAACTATGGTAATTGGGGTTTTTACTCTCTCTGTAAGGTTTTTTCCTAATGTCTAAAGAGCTGTCCCTCTTTAGACTAACGATTAAGCTTACAGGGGGATTAAGTGGTTCTGTAGGTAAACTTAAGGTCGAACTAAGATTCTGTCTTGGATAACCAGCTATCACCAGGCTCGGTAGGCTTGTCACCTCTACCCAGAAATCTTCCCACTATTTTGTCACATAGACGGGTGCGCTCTTTTAGCTGTTTTTGGGTAGCTCGTCTGATTTCGGGGAATTTGGCTTGTAGTTCTCTTTGTGAAATTATTTCTAGCTAATCCATTATGCGAAAGGTACAGGGGTTAGTCCTTGCTATTTTGTGCTTGGGTGGTTTTCTATCTTTCCCTTACGGTACTATATCTATAGCGCCAGATTAAAATTTCTATCGCCTATACTTTATGTAGGTGAATGGTTTGGTGTATGTTGGTTTGATATTAGTATTGATTATGCTTAGGGCTAGTGTTAGCTCAAGGCAATCGAGTGGCATTGAGATCTTCTGGGTGTAAGCCAGGTGCTTTATGTTGAGCTATACCTTGATTTATCCAAGTGCACCTTCCAGTACACTTACCGTGTTACGACTTATCCCCTCTATATAAATATTGGGATGTTTAGTTAAGATATTCCTTAAGTATATTTGAGGGGAGTGACGGGCGGTGTGTGCGTGCTTTATGGCCTAGTTCAATTAAGCACTCTATTCTTAATTTACTGCTAAATCCTCCTTGGACTCTTAGGTTTCATAAGAGTTATCGTGGGGTTTTCTGAGGTAGAAAATGTAGCCCATTTTTTACCATCTCATGGGCTACACCTTGACCTAACGTTTTTGCGGTGGAGGGCATTTGCGCTCACTTTGTAACCTTCATCAGGGTTTGCTGAAGATGGCGGTATATAGGCTGAGCAAGAGAGGGTGGGGTGGATTGGGGTTTATCGATTATGGAACAGGCTCCTCTAGGGGGAATATAAAGCACCGCCAAGTCCTTTGAGTTTTAAGCTGTTGCTTGTAGTATTCTGGTGAGTAGTTTTGTTATTTAACTATTGAGGTTTAAGGTTAAGCATAGTGGGGTATCTAATCCCAGTTTGGGCCTTAACTATTGTGTGTTCAGAAGTCTTAAAGCCACTTTCGTAGTTTATTTTACATCAGCTAGGGTTTTACAGTTTAGATGGAGTTTAGCTTTATTGTATCAGATCTTAAACACCCTCTACGCCGATCTCTATTGGCTAGGGTTAATCGTATGACTGCGGTGGCTGGCACGAGATTGACCAACCCTTGATATAGCATAGCTTAGTTAAACTTTCGTTTATTGCTAAAGGTTCATCACTGCTGTCTCCCGTGGGGGTGTGGCTAGGCAAAGTGTTTTGAGCTGCGTGTGCGTGCTTGATACTTGCTCCTCTTTATCATGGTGATTTATAGGACGTCTTCACCGGGGCGGGGATGCTTGCATGTGTAATCTTGCTAAGGGCCAATAGAAAGGCCAGGACCAAACCTATTTGTTTATGGGGTGTGCAAGCCCATCTAAGCATTTTCAGTGTCTTGCTTTAGGCGGGTTTAAGCTACACAAACGGAGATGTGGGTGTGATTGGGGGAGTGGCTTACTTTAGGGTGGGAGGGAGTTATGGGTTGGTGTCAAGAGGGTTTTATGAAGTAAATATTTATTAGTTGAGGGGATGGCAGTTGGAGTCGTGCACACCTAAAAGATGAAAATGCAAGCTTTGGCCGGGTAAATTGAGGCTTTTGTTTTTGGGGTTTGGCAAAAGTGGGTTTTGGATGAAGGTCAGAGATAGGGGTGGGGGGGTTTGATAAGGTTTTTATTTGTGATTTACTGTGGTGTGGTGGGTGTTGCTGTGGAGTTTGGCTATTCTTATGTCCTACAAGCATGAATTAAATAACACCTTGCTAATATCCGTGTGGGGCTAGAATATTGAACGTAGGTGCGATCAACAACCGTATGTACTAGGAATCAAAGACAGGCGCATTCAGGA